TTCTCGCCTTTTTCAGCTCAAGGTTTTGATTTAAAATCCGCCAAGTTTAGTGTTCTGGTTGGTGGAAATACACTTCTGAAAGCGTTTCAGTTGCGTAATGGAACGTTGATTAAGGAGTATATACTGAAGATAGAATCAAATCTGCTCGAAATAGAGTTTGAACCTGTGGGTGATTCAGCTTTTGGGTTTGTCAATGCTCTGGAGGTATTTACAGCTCCTGTGGACTTCATTCTGGATTATGGGGCCAGGTTAGTGGGCTCTTCTGGAGTTGAAGAGTACAGCAACCTTTCAAGTCAAGTTTTAGAGACAGTTTACAGAATTAATGTTGGTGGCTCGAAAATAACTCCTTTCAATGACACCCTCTGGAGGACTTGGATTCCTGATGATGATTATTTGGTGTTTAAGGAAGCAGCTAAGCGTGTGGCGAGCACCCATACACCAAATTATCAGAACGGAAGTGCAAGCCCAGAGATCGCTCCTGATCATGTTTATATGACTGCCCAGGAGATGAATCGGGAAAACTCAAGTCTGGCTTCCAGGTTCAATATAACTTGGAAATTTCAGGTGGCTCCGGCGGGTGGTGGCGGTGTTCGGCACTTGGTTCGGTTGCATTTCTGTGATATTGTTAGCTCTGCGTTGAACTTGCTGTACTTTGATGTGTATCTTAATGGCTACTCTGCGTACAAGGATCTTGACCTCTCAACTCTTGCTGTCCATGTTCTTGCATCTCCATTCTATGTGGATTTTGTCGCAGATTCTGATGATTCAGGTTTTATTGAAATAAGTGTTGGTCCTTCTGATCTGAACAGTTTGATTCGGATGAATGCCATTTTGAATGGCGCAGAGATCATGAAGATGGTCAATGTTATGGATTCACATGTTGTCCACAAAAGAAAAACATTATGGGTATTGGTGGGCTCTCTTGTTGGAGGAGTTGTACTACTTTTGGCAGTTTTTGGTCTTCTTCTTGCTTTTATGTGCAGGAAGAGGAAACCTAGACAAAAGACAGCAGAAAGTGTAGGGTGGACACCTTTACGAATGTTTGGAGGGAGCTCACTTAGTCGACTGTCTGAAGCTCTTGCATCTCCAGGTTCTCATGGATATTTAGGCTTGAAAGTCCCTTTTGCTGATATACAAGCAGCAACTAACAATTTTGATAGAAATCTGATTATAGGATCTGGTGGGTTTGGTATGGTTTACAAAGGGACGCTCAAAGAAAATGTTAAGGTTGCGGTCAAGAGAGGAATGCCTGGGTCCAGGCAGGGCCTTCCAGAGTTCCAGACTGAAATAGCAGTTCTATCCAAAATTCGCCATCGTCATCTTGTTTCACTTGTTGGTTTTTGTGAAGAAAATTCAGAGATGATACTTGTCTACGAGTATGTTGAAAAAGGACCGCTTAAAAAGCATTTGTATGGCTCAGGACTACCTCCTTTGTCTTGGAAGCAGCGTCTCGAAATATGCATTGGTGCAGCTAGAGGTCTTCACTATCTTCACACTGGTTTTGCACAGGGAATCATCCACCGTGACATTAAATCAACCAACATATTGCTTGATGAAAATTATGTGGCCAAGGTTGCTGATTTTGGTCTTTCAAGATCCGGTCCATGTCTCAATGAGACCCATGTGAGTACTGGTGTGAAAGGCAGTTTTGGTTATCTAGATCCTGAGTATTTCCGAAGGCAGCAACTTACAGATAAATCAGATGTTTATTCATTTGGGGTTGTGCTTTTCGAGGTTCTTTGTGCCAGACCTGCTGTTGATCCACAGCTTACTAGGGAACAGGTGAATTTAGCAGAATGGGCACTTGAATGGCAGAAGAAGGGCATGCTGGAGCATATTGTCGATCCCCATATTGCTGGGCAGATCAAGCCCGAACCGTTGAAGAAATTCGGCGAAACAGCCGAGAAATGTTTGGCTGACTATGGTGTTGACAGGCCAACTATGGGAGATGTGTTATGGAATTTGGAATATGTACTTCAGATCCAAGAAGGTGGTCAATTAAGGGAACCAACAAACGACTTGACAGCTACTGTTACTGGAACTCCTCCTGACAACATGAGAACACAGAGATATTATGATAATTGTAATTCAGACATCAGTACTAGTGAAGTATTTTCTCAACTAATGACCAATGAAGGCAGATAGAGAGGCAGGCGCATTTGCTTGCTGTGCAATTGCCTCTTGATCTGTTACAATGGAGATGAAGAGGTATTAATTTGAACCATTACTTAGGCTTTGTTCTTTTTTTCTTGATTCTTTTCCTTTCATCAAAATTATAATTACCAATTACCATGATGGCATATATCATGTAATAGTTCCTTAACAAAGTCACGATATTTTATTTAACTCCTATTTATCACTTGTTTGTTTATACCACAAAGCTATTTTGTATTGTAGAGCTGAAGTTGTAAAAGTTGTGATGAGCCATGAGTTCTGACTCATCCATTTATAAGTGTATTGTTTATGATAAAGGTATCTACCATGCGGTTAAATTCTACATGTAACACATATTTCTCCTTTTACCTGAAAAAAGTGTGTTACTGTTAAACCTTAAGTGAACCTTAATGCAGTTAAATTCATTAGCCTGCTCAAGTGTATTCCTTAAGCACCATATGAGAAGCCTAGGGAGTATGGACGACTAATAGTTAATACTTTCTTCCCCCTCTTCCTCTTCTCATTGGCATATATGCTAAACAGATTCCAGAAAGAAATGCACATTTTTTGGCATTCATGTTTGTTTCTTTTATCCCTTTATTTTCCATTTTATATCTTGCTTCAGAGTCAATTCATTCTTATTTGTGGACGGGGCATGTCCTCTGAATCACTCGTTCAGGTTAGTAATCCAGGGTGCATAAACCCCTCAGCAAGTTGATATTTGCTTTGACATAAACAGCTCTCGGACTGCTGCGGAGATTCATTTGCTGTTGGTTTATCCTGATCAAGTTTTTGAAACTTGATATACTTGTCTTGCTAGCTCCTTTATGGAGTAAAATACTCATTCAGCTAAATAAAGAGACTAGATGAACAGGGATCGGGAAGGGGTTCTGATGCATTAAAATCATAAAGAATTCTAATATAATACAAGAAAATATTGTTTGAAACTGCACTGACTTCCTTCTTACATGCTGTTTTTGACCATTATGTGTGTAAGGCGAGATTATCTGAAAATCTTCTGGCTTTAAAGACTTATGATCAGCCAAAGGAACCAAATTCAACGGAATACCTACAGATGGAAATATGATTCTAGTTCTGGGGCCCTTCTGGGACATCAAAACTTGAACTACACATATTTTCATGTGATTCACTTATTTCACCATCTTTTGCCGAAAGAGAAAGAAGGGCTTGCTGAGTGAATTTCTTATGCACTCAAAGGTCGAAGCCTCTTTAACACCAGTTTTCTTTCATGAAGAATAGAAAAAGGACCACCTGAATGAAAAGTGGAGATTCTTCGAAGATAAGACCAATAAAGTGCAAGCACGAGTAAAGCAGGTTGGCCAACCCCGCTTTTTCGGCGTTCATGTCGGCGTTTCGGCGTTTGGACTGCTTATTTTTACAAATCAGATCTGATTCATTGCTTTGTACACACACACACATCAATTTTTTAAAGAGAAATTGTGAAATAAAATTTTTCTTGATGCATTTTTCGATTGATTTTTTTTTTTGGGTAAAATTTTTCAGATTGATCTGTTTGAAAGACAATTCGTTCTAATCTTTTAGGCAGGGTTGGGTTGGATGCTCCTGGACATGGACCCATGAACGGATGTTTGGTGCTATTTAGAATAGGCCTGAGCCCAATAAATTACTGGAACCATAAATTGGTAGGCCTAATAAAAATGTCGTAATGACTCCAAATATTTTTAGTTTAGTTTTTCTAATATTTAAGTTTTATATAACAGTTTAGTTTGGTAAACAAAAACACTATAATTAATACTCCGCCGGTCTTAAATATAAGACTATTTTTATAATGTAATTTGTATTACAAAAAGAGTCTTATATTTAACACCGGAGGAATATTTTATCAATTAAACGTTGGTCACAAGCATCATATATGGTCTAAGTCTTGTTTTTGATAGATTTATGAACAGTGCAACTATATATATATGTGCACGCGCGAGAGTGCGTCATTATTCTTATATTTTGTTGTTTCAATTTAGCATTTATTGGTAATTGTTAAAAACATCTGAGAATTTTTTTTTTTTTTTACCGGAACATCTGAGAATGCATTTAACAATTTATATTGAGCAGGAATTTATGTTGTTTTCAGGCTATGTTTGGTAGCTTCTACATATTTAATTTACTCGCTGGATTTTCTTCTTAAAGATGTCATCTCTATTTGTTTTCAACCGAATTATAAAACACAAAAATGATTTTATATGCCAGTGTGTGAGATATTTCTGAAGCGCCTTGTGGACACTTTTGCAGGCAAGGCCACATCAGACAAAAGAGACTGTTAAAAAAAGGAAAGAAAAAGAAAAAGATGCGTATTTTATTCTCATTTGAAAAGAAAGATAGTAGTAGTACATGATTTTATGACAGTTGCTTCCGTTTAAACTGATTCCTCATGTAGTTTATCAGCTTCCTAATAAAAATCCAGAAAGCCCATCCATTTTTGAGTTTCTTCTTTCTTAAAAATTTTAATGTCACCTCCAACAACAATATATATTAAAAAAAGTGTTTTTTAAATTCACCCGGAACGCCTTTTTTGAAGGGGGGAAAAAGAGAACCACGATTATCGGCAACTCATTGTTATTTTTATGTAAACAGTTGAGTACTTGTCAATAATGAATGCACGATGTGGGTCCCTCCCTGTGTCTTGGACTCTCTTGCGTCACTCCCCCCCCCCCAAAAAAATCCTTCCCAATCATGGAAGACAGCTGTAAATCCACGGACATTCTCGTGATTTCAACGTTCTCTCAAGGGCAACCTTGTAATTTCGTCTTCCCCCGGTCCATTTCAATTCATATCATTTCACGGTTTCGGTCCTACCCGTCCTCTCCTCTCTCGTGTCTCTCTTCTCTCTTTTATCTACCCATTCCCTCCCTCCTTTTCAAATATAAATTCGATCCATAAAATATTTTGTTTCGTGAACGCCAGAGAAGACGATTTGGACGAGCAAATTGCAACTACAGGTATAATCTCACTCCGAATCTCACAGGGAAAGAAACGACATTTGCAGGAGGAGAACAACATAGGTGGTGGTTCGGGGAGGAATTTGTTGTTCCTTCAATTGAATTCTTGGGGGAAGGAGGGGGGATGGAGAGGGTTTAGAGGGAGAGTTTAAGCTGCTCAAGTTAGGGCTCCTGGTGAAGATGACGGAAGTTGTTCTGCATGTATATGATGTGACCAATAGTGGATCGGAGAAGACAAACAGCACCATCCTTCAGATCAACAAGATCTTCAAGGATGGGATTGGTCTCGGTGGTATATTTCACAGCGCTGTTCAGGTATCCTTTATTTCTTTTGGTTGTATAGAGTTATATATAGCATGAATGGCTGTGTTTATTTGCCAGGTTGTTGTTGTTATTGTTTGGGAATTGGGACTGGAATTTGATTTAGGGTTTTGGTGAGGTTTTTTGAGTTAAATTTTTTCACACTGGTCGGGTTTTGCGGTTTTTTCTTTCCCTGTAGGATTCTTGATTCCTGATTTAGATGCAAGAAATTAAAAATGTTCTTGGGCGAGTCATGTGTCTGTTATGTGACTGTACTGATAATTTGAGCATTTTTTGTTTCAATCCTTTGTTAGCGGCTGTACTTTTACCTTTTCCTTGTGTGGTAGGGGGGACCTGAGAGCTCTGTGATTAACAGAACTTGACAATATGATATCCAAGTGATTTGTGCTATAGTCACCGGGAAACTTGTTTACATTGAATGCAAAGCCCAAGATATATATGTTATAACTAGATAGCCACTTGTGCATTGCATGGAGTCTGAAAAATGTGTCATAGTTTTCACAATTTGTGAATAATGTGGTTTTGTTATAGGTTTTATATTTTATATTGGTATTGATTGATATGTTGATGATATTGATATTGATTGTTTTTGTTATTGCTTTGTTTTGCAAATGCTTTTTCATTTATTGCTGTTACTACTATACATCTAATTGTATATTCTTGCTCGTTGATATTAAGTAATTAAGAATTCAATTAGTACATTCTTATGTCCAATTAATCTCTGTAACACGCTTTGTACCAGGAAGCAGAAAACATGTATGGCACTTTTATGGGAATTATTATGTGTGGAAAGCTTCAGTGTCTGTTTTATATTGTGATGAACCTAATAGAAATTGTTTCCTCCATGATATCGACTGCTTACTATTCACGAGGGAATTCTCAATATTTTAAAATTTATTTATAGCATGCAACATTTTCGTCATGTGCTGATATTTTGTGGACTGTTTGTGCTACTGTTACAGGTTTATGGAGACGAAGAATGGTCATTTGGTTTTTGTGAGCAAGGTACTGGAGTTTTCAGCTGCCCTTCACGTAAGAATCCAATGTATTCATATCGTGAATCCATTGTTCTTGGGACCACAAACTGTTCAATTTTCAAGGTAAACCAGATATTAAGAGAACTCAGCAGGGAGTGGCCTGGAAGTTCATATGACCTGTTATCCAAGAACTGCAATCATTTTTGTGATGAATTCTGCGAAAGTCTTGGAGTGCAAAAACTTCCAGGTAAAACATCTATTTAGTGTACCAATTATGTTTGGACTTGTCATACTTGTAATATTTGTTTCTGTTAAATTTCTATGATGTGCTCACATGTCCACATGACAGCGAATCTGTGTTGTGGAAGGTTTTGCTTTTTAAGTTTCTTGGGTAGAAAAAGTCTGCCCTGTTCATTAATTCCGTGTGAGATGTCTATTTTTAATGCTGTAATATGAGATATAGTGGACTTTCTTGCCTAAGCTAAAGTATAAACTGTAGATCTCGGTATTGTGCTTGTATTCCACTTATCTGCATGGAGAATCATTAAATAACACAATACTGTTGACATGAACACTACAACTGCCTATTTTCTTGCAAGTTGAGGGAGACGAAGTTACAAGTTGAGTGCAATAAGAGAGGGTGAGGGCATACGCTTTGGCAGAACTAGAATGAAGTTTTTGAATTGTATGAGAAGTAACCGATCCTAGGTCTGGAGCTATCAAAGAGGTTTGGAATTAATGGATGTTGTGGGGATAAGAATGAGATAATGTGTCACCTACCACTCTTATCAAAATCTACATGTAACCACCATCATGGGGGATTTGATTATTGATTCTGTACATTGCTTTACACGCTGTGTCCTTGTCTTCATGATAGGTTGGGTCAATCGATTTGCCAATGCTGGGGACACTGCAATGGAGGTGGCTGAAAGTACAGCAATGCGGGTAAGAAATGATTTTTCGGCCTTGACCTTGGTAAATTAGCATCGAATAGAAGGGGGTGATATTTCATCGGAAAATGCATTCATCGTTCTTGTTGTTGGGGGACTTGTTTTTATTGTGCATATGCTTAAAACTGGCTGCGGCTGCTTCTCTCGTTCTTTTTACTTTGATCTTCTTGTTGTCTTGTTTAGTGGAAACGATATTCGAATCGATTTGCCAATGCTGGGGACACTGCAATGGAGGTGGCTGAAAGTACAGCAATGCGGGTAAGAAATGATTTTTTCGTGTTCGGCCTTGACCTTGGTAAATTAGCATCGAATAGAAGGGGTGATATTTCATCGGAAAATGCATTCATCGTTCTTGTTGTTGGGGACTTGTTTTTATTGTGCATATGCTTAAAACTGGCTGCGGCCTGCTTCTCTCGGTCTTTTTACTTTGATCTTCTTGTTGTTCTTGTTTAGTGGAAACGATATTCCGAATATTTACTAGCACTCATGTTGGAGAATTCAATCATGTGACGGTACTGGTTATTGCAGCTACGGCAAGCCAAAACGGAGATTGTATCTGCAAGTAAAGTAGCATATCGTTTCCTCGTAGGCGTCACTAACAATATTAGAAGTGATCCAGACTCCCCGGGCAATTCAAACAGAGGAGGGAGCCCCAGATTTCAGGGTACTTGGTTGAAGAATCTGATTACCACTGGTGCTAAACCATCCAGTAGTTCAGAAGTCCAGAATCAAAATGGGGATGAGCAGCCCCAACAAAGGCAAGAAGATGACGGCAAGGCACTGCTTCATCATAATTCATCTTCACATGATGGTAGTTGAGGGGGCTAGTCGCTGTCCCGAAAGGCATAGTTCGGCAGCCTCTGCTGTGTATTGTATGTCAACAAAAGTGAAAGGCAATTTTTAACAATTCAAATGTGACTCGAAGTGTAAAATGTTCAACTCAACTCAATTCTACCATCAAAGCCTGCGATGACTGTTCATTGAACAGAGATTATGCCCTTTATTTCGCTTGGACCTTTCATTGAACAGCAATTTCGTTCTTTTGTTGTTTTCTGCAGTTTCACCTTGTACCCCAAACGCGGGAAAAAAAAAAAATTAAGAGAGATGATGTCACCGTTTTTGCCAGACTTCTACTTGATCAATCTTGGATTTGAGTCGGCTTTGATATGGGCACAGAATTCCTTGATAGACCAAATTGGGATGCATACTATCGTCACGGTGCAATTGAAAAGAGAATTATGCCGCAACAATTTTAACTATTTTATTATAGCATATCTTATATATATATTTTTTAAATGTATACGCGTATTAGTAAATTATATATTAGTTTCTAAGGGTGATAAATTAGTTTAGAAAAAATAATAAATATAAATATTTTAATATAATTGTAGTTTTCCTAATTTTTTAAAATAAATTAATTAAATTTTATATTAACGACGGAGACGTATTTTACAGCTTATAACCTCAATAACAAAAATGATCCAATTGGCATTTATTTAAAAAAAACAGATTATTGTTATTAATTATTTAAAATGTAAGCCTTCTTATAAAAATTCTTAATATACAAACTTGGATTTCTGCTGATACCTAGCAACATCATCGTGAAAAAGTGAAATTTGTCTCAATGTCTTTAACTTAGTGGCATGAAAATTTTCCACGAGGTTACGATTCCATCTTGCTTGTAATCATGTTATTGTGGTTAAGTGTTTGCGCTTCCATGTATTTTACACACACAAAAAAAAAAAAAGAGAAAGGGCCAAACCTGCACCCCCGCCGCAAAAGGAAAAAATAAAGAAAGATTTAATATAATTTTCGATTCTCTAATTTATTCTTATTTTGGTTTTAGTTTCTTAAGTTTTAAAGTATAAATTTTGATTTTTTAAGGAATAAGATAATCTAAATTTTTATTCAATTATAGAAACTAATATTTTAAATAAAAAAATATGAGAGACCAAAATTTATAATTTAAAATTTAAAAAACTAAAACTAAAATAAAAATAAATTTGAAACAGGTGTTAATGTGTTATCCCAAAAGGAAAAAAAAGCTCAAAGCTGAGCAGTAAACACGTTTTCTGGTTTAAGTCTTGCATTGCATTATTGGCTTCTTGGATCCACAACGAATGTTTTGAAGAGAATCACAACCGTCCATTTGACCATGCCCAGCCCCATAAGCAAAACAGATGCACGATCGATCGGTCACCGGGAGGCCCATGATTTAACATATGGGTCCCACTTGAAACTAGATCCGTCCACATCATGCCACGTAATGGGAACACAAAGAAATGACTCAGACAAACCTAAGCAGCTCTGTTAGCTTCGGCCATAACTTGACACGTGCCCACCACCAATTCGGCAGTTCATGTTTGACGCGATTGCCCTTCCGTCTGTGGTGTTATCGTTTTTTTTGTTCTTCCCCGCGTTCTCCTTCCATCTAAACTCCTCGCCTTTTTTCTCTTTCCAGAGCTCTCGACTTTTTACTTGCTTTTTCAACCCAAACTACGGTGCTCTCAGATCTCCGCACTTCGATTTTCTTGCCATATTCTTCCCAATTGGGTTTCTCTTGATTTTTGTTCAGGACTGTGATAGGTTCAACCGCTTCTCCCTCTATGCCATTCCCGAAGGTCTGATTTATCGTTTTCTGATTTTAATTTTCTGTTTTGTTAATTGTATAACCCTGGATTTGTCGCAATTTTTCAATTTGATTTATAAATCATGGTTATTGAAACCTTATGAGCATCTGGATCCGGACCTGAATTACTGATTTACTGGCGGAAAATTCGATGTTTCTGATTCTTGGTCGAGTAGATCTTGTGGTTGATACTGCTGTGTATTTGATTTTCTTTATTGAAGTTTTTGTTCTCGTTGTACTCATTTTTGGATTTGGGGATTTAGATAGATTAAACTTGCATGTGGTTGCAAGCTGAATTGTTGGAAAATAAATAACTTTCTCTTCCCTCTGATTTTCTTTTGGTATGCCAAAATAATCTTACTGTAGATAAACAATGGGTGTAAATTCGATGGGTGTTCTATTGATGGGCAATAGTGAAGTCACAAAGGCGCACCTTCTAGAATTTAGAACCAATTAGTTTACAATAATCAAAAAGCACGGTTTGCTAAATCATTTCATTTCCATTTGGTGGATGTCATGTAATTTGTCTTATTTAGTGTTGAGCAAACTTAATCCGACTTGTTATGATCCTTTCCTGGGTTGCTGCGGCTTTGTTTCAGTTTCTTAGAAAGGAGAACATTGACATGTTTTTAGGTAATTAAATTGTTTATTCAGGGTTGTTAAGGATGAACTTTTTGTTCCGTATAGATATATACCTTGTTTCTATCCATCACTCCATCCCTCATATTTCTTTCTTTTACTTGCGCTTGAGATATTTCATTCCTTCATTTTCACTGTTTCATATGCTTCCAAGATCTTGTTTAAATTGCTGTGGACAGCTAGTTTGTATGGTTAGTCATTTTGGGTCCAATTTATGTAAATTTTTTTTTACTTTCAGAATTTGATGAATTAAACATTCCTTGTTACTACTTGCAATGCAGTTGGGAAGGGTGTACTTGAACCAGTGTGGAGAGAAATCGGGATTTTTCCAAAATCTTGAAGTTCTGTTGGTGTTTGCAGGATGGTTAGGTGCAAGGGTTGTGGGAAGCTGGGTAGAATGGGGCCAAGGGATGGGTCTATGAGTTCTTATGAATTTTCTCTGCTGTTATCTCCGGTTGTCTCTGTTTGGGACTGCATAGTTCGCAAAATGAGGTATTCCTGCAGACCTGAGTGGGTGTAGTGGTTGGAGCCTTTTATTGGTAATTTGACATTTCACACAAATCGGATAATTTTTATCTTAAAAGTTAGGGAAAGAGGGGAAGAAGGGTAATTTAGAGAAATGTATACAGTTCTGAGTAAAGTTTGACTGAGAGAAGTTCACACCAAAAAAAATAAAAAAGTAGTCTTAGTAGTTAGAGGCAATATACATGATGGATAACACGGCGTGTAATAAAGGGCAAAATGTGAGGAAAGCAAAGAAGAAGCAGGTGAAAGATGAGTTCGATCGTCTGAAACAGGCTGAGAAGAAGAAGAGGCGCTTGGAAAAAGCACTCGCTACTTCTGCAGCCATCATCTCTGAGCTGGAGAAGAAGAAACAGAAAAAGAAAGAAGAGCAACAGAGACTTGATGAAGAGGGTGCTGCAATTGCTGAGGCTGTTGCCCTGCATGTTCTACTTGGTGAAGACTCAGATGATTCCTGTAAAGTCAGAGATGAAGGGGGATGCAAGCCCTGGAACTGCAATAGTAACCTTGGGTTCTTCCTGGGCAGAAAAAGAGCTTGTTTTCCTCATCTAGATGGTGGCGTGTGGTCTGTTGAAAGAATGGGATGGGTCTCTGATGCATACAGGGGGGATGGTGCTGAAAATGCCCGGTGGTCTTTCGCATTTGGACCTTTTGAAAAGAATGTGCATGAACCGATTAATGAGACAGCAGGATGGGGGTTTGATGGGTTTTCTGCTGACCTTATTGCAGCACAAGCAGTTTCATCTCTTCAGATTGCAGAAGATGCAGTAGCTGATGAAGGACGGGTTCTCTTTTAACGGATTGCATATACGTAGTAATAGTTTGTGTTGGTTTGGTGGCTGGACGAAACCTATATTAAATTCTACCGGGGGATGTCGTCTGTATATTTTATTATTGAGTCTTGTCCCTGTCGAGCACATTCTGCTTCAGCTGTGTCTGATCTATGAGGTCACCATGTTTTATTCTATTTTCAACCGCGTATGATGGAGTTGATGTCTGTGTGGAGTGACTTTTATATACTGAGTATGTGCGATTTCTCTGTCTTCTTGAGCTGATTCCGTATAATCGAAATACTTGAGTGAACCGTATTTATTTATTAGTTATTCCAGATAAATGTTTAGCCCTCCCTTCCATGGTGGCATGCATTTCATTCTTCACATCGTCTTGTTAATCTTGGCAATTTCTCGACAAACTTTCCTCATGTGGTGAAATGTTTGTCAGCATGAATTTTCATTTTACTTTGCATCTGAAGGCATATTTCGTAATAAGATTAAATCGTCTAGGGTATATTTTACTATGAAGTTCCTCATTTCTCTTGACGAAATATAAATTCATGCTTTTGCGAGATCTGAGCACCCTTTAGAATTGGACCTATCTTTATTTAGTAGACAAAAAATATTTAGTCTCTATTATATTTCAGTGATTGTTATTGATTAATAATAATTTGGTACTAGATACATCTTCCCCGTAGAACAATGTCGACGACCATCTGATGACTCTAGTATGCACTATTTATTTGACCTATGTATTTGAGGAATCCATACAATTGACGTACAAATACAATATACACCAGTCTGCAAACCTAGGCTTTGGACAAGAGTCTGTTTCTTCAACTGATATCATGTGAAGATGAATTATGACCATGCAGCGCCCTTCCATCATCTTCTTGACTTTGTTGGAGCTGCTCACACTCATCCTGATCCTGGCTTTCTGAGCTACTTGATGGCTTAGCACCAGTAGTAATCAGATTTTTAAACCAAGTAGCTTGGGATCTCGGGGACCCTTCACTGTTTGAATTGCTTAAGGGGCCTGAATCACTTCCGACATCACTAGCACCACCCAACAGGAACCGGTATGCTACTTTGCTTGCTGATACAATCTCTGTTCTGGCCTGTCGAAGCTGAAATAACCAGTGTTTGAGTAAATAATGGTTGCATGATTTAAAGTGCATGTGGCATAATAAACTTCCCGCTACGACACCAAATCCAAAAGCACAAAACAAATTACAATCTAGGTTTTAAATTCCAAGATTGCAGGACATTATTAAGCATAAAGATACTGACCGCAGCCCGCCAGGCCACAATCTACAATTGCATTAGAGGCGAACATTAAAAGCTTCAAAGGATTATTTGACAATTGCAAGGCCAAGAAATATCGAATGTGATGCCCAACCAACATGAGCTCATGAACAAGCTAACTTGTTAAGCATTAAAAGAAAAACACATCCACCAAGGTATCATTACGATTATCCTACAATAGAAGAAGCTTGTATAAAAAATGAACATGATGCAGAAATAAGGATTAAGAAAACCAATTCTCACCAGCATGGCAGTATTTTCGGCCGCTCCCATAGCTGAGTCTCCAGCATTCGCAAACAGATTAACCCAACCTGTCATGGAATATGTAAGAACACTATTGGCAATAATTCACAAGATGAAGCAAGCTAAAATATCATTTGATGCAGATGAAAGTTGGTAAGATAACTTGATATCTCATCTCAACTCTTATCCTCCCTAAGTACTCCTGAAATCATCCAAAATACATCACTCATCATTCCAGAGCGTACCACCATCACTCAACTTGTACAATTCCAACTTCATCTTTCTTAATTGAAAAGAAAATGCAGAGATTCCATCCCCATCAGCGGTGTTCTGTAAATCAGCCTTAAGTATAAGAACAAACATTCAACTCAAAATTGATCACTGAGATCAAGTATTTCTACAATATACAAAAGACTTGTAATGAAAATGCCAGCGTAAACTCAAAATTGCCATTATGCAGACATGGACACAAGCCAGGAATTGAATAGTCAAATACTACAATTTACAAAAACTAAAATATTACTACTAGTGAAATGGCCAAGTCAACAGTTAGAAACATAACAGACAAGCAATATAATAAAAGATGCTCTATACCAAGTGATTCACCTGGAAGTTTTGGCACACCAAGCCTTGCGGAGAATTCATCACAAAAATGGTTGCAGTTTTTGGATAACAGGTCATATGAAATTCCAGGCCACTCTCTGCTAAGTTCTCTTATTATTTGATTTACCTTGAGAATTGAACAATCAGTTACCCCCAGAACAATCGATTCACGATATGTATACATTGGATTCTTCATTGAGGGGCAACTGAAAACTCCACTACCTTGCTCACAAAATCCAAATGACCATTCATCTTCTCCGTAAACCTATGACAGCGCAGAAACAATCCATAAAATATCAGCACCGTGATATAATTGCATGCTTACCACAATATCAAGGACGCTGCACAAAGTTAAAGATAAAAAATCCTTTAAATTGTTCAGACAAATACCAAACAAGCAAATGTTATTCAAGCAGCAGTTCCCTACCTAGGTAAAACACGATTCAACTACCAAGGAGGCTGCAAAACACATTAGAAGTATGATCATTCCTCTTAACACATTAGAAGTCATTGCCATGGACCACTCATGGTTAAAATACCTTCCAAGCTCTTCTCCCACTTTTGTCTATTGCTGCTGTTCAACATTGAACAACTGTACAGAAACAGAGTACTGGGAAGTGCCCTCTAAAATATACAAATAGATCGCTCGGTATTTGCCAACATGTCCTTGACTAATATATGCTGAAGCGTAATACACACGATGAGAAGAACAAGAAGGAAGTGCTACCCAGACGCAACTCACAAGATATGCCAAGAGAGGATAGCAAATCAGTAGGATATGTAATCAACTGCGTTGTGTCAATCACAGTGCTTTCCGCCCCCCACCCAAACATTCATGCAAAGAAGTAAAAAAGATAACAGACTAACTCAAGATTGAATCTGAGCCTCAATTACCAGTGAAGTCATAGATTTAACAATCACACTCCAGCATCAACATTTGAACATCCAAATCAAGATTCAAGACACAGCCATTCACTGTTCATAAACCTCAATACAACCAACGCGAATGAGAGGTACCTGAACAGCGCTGTGGAATATACCACCGAGTCCAATCCCATCCTTGAAGATCTTGTTGATCTGAACAATTGTGCTATTGGTCCTCTCTGATCCGCTATTGGTCACATCATATATATGCAGAATCACTTCCGTCATCTCTACCGAAAACCCCAAGTCGCACGGCTCAGCCCCACTTCCTGTATCCTTCTCTAAAGTCTAAACTTTACTTTTGCGGGTTGCCCCGCATTCTACTTCGAGAAATTATTCCAATTCCAATTGAATAAGGAACAACAAATCCCGCCCTTCCGCAACCTCTAGTCTTCTTCTTCTCTACCGGTTGGGCTTCGGGATCTGAAACAGAGTGAGATTTCGCTTCGGGATACTGAACAACCCGCCAATTCTCTCTGACAACCGTAACTGGATGTCTTCGCTGAATTTGTATTTTGCGGGGAGTGGGGGAATTAGGAGGGAAAGGGCCAAAAAAGCCACAATTAACAGTCGAACAACGGCGTGATATTTTACTTTCATAACGCAATAAAGAGCAAAAGGAAATGCCCGATTTACCCGTAAAGATGGTCACATTACAGGAATCCTTCCGCTCAATAATAGTTCAACTCATCTTGGCATGATAACCTTCTGCATTGATTAACTAGATCCTAGATTTCCTATTTTGCTGTTGAGTCATGCCATGTATTCAAAGCTTTGTTAATTCTTCATTCTTAATTAATATGCTTAAACATAACCAGACTGTACTTCATGATGCGCTATTCATCATTAACGAATAATTGAATTGAACTTTGAGATTAGATTTTTTTTTTAATAGAATTTTGACACATTCCAAATTCGCCTAATATTGTTTGGTTTTGTTCCCCCAACCCCCCCTTTTCCCAAGAATACAAGGCTATGAAACGAAGAGTGACATGGGATGGGACACAAGATTAATACATATTTTCAATCATAAAATCCCTACACACAAATGGTGGGGAGCAATAGATTATAAAAGGAATCTTAGATGCTAGTACTTTAGTAGTACAGTGGTCGTGTAGGTTGTCTTTTTATAGCACTTGTCATGAGTTTGACCTGTACCAGCAAAGCAATGCGCTTGCCAAATTAAAAAAAAAAAAAAAAAAAAAAAAGGTCTCAAGCTATTTTTGAACATCTAGAAGTTCTTCATGGAAAGGATTCCCCAAAGCCGTCCCTCAGTGGCTTCAATGGAGTGGGAGAAGAATATGAACCTGTTGAAATCCGCATGATCTGCACAATTCCATTCCTAACTTGATGGCTTTGACTTCAGCTATTGTTATGAAAAGAATTCCAAAGTTAGATGGAAATCCAATAATCCAGTGCCCAAGCCACAAGCTGCATTCTGTTGTTGATTAATCGAGGCATCAAGCCTTATTACCTTTACATTTGGAACCAAGTGCTGGTTTAACTTACTGTGATTAGTATTTAAAGAAACCTAAGCTAATAGTGGATAAATGTGGCCAAAGCCATAAACAATTAATAAGCCGCCCTAAATTTTGTATCTTTCTTGGCCATCCCAAAAGCATATGATATTCGGTCTTTCTTTAGAAAACCCCTTCAACAACACAAATCTGACGACAAATTGGAAGTCTCATTCTCCCTTGAATGCTCGATAAGAAACCTTAGGACACCATAAATTCTGTCATTTTCACAATGATTCTTGTCAGCATTAAGAAAGATGTGAACCTTGTTCCTGACTTCAATCCAACTGCAACCTGGAATCCTGTTCATCCCTTTCTTCTTCATCTCTTCTCTTAGTGATGACACTTCAGACCACCTACCAGCAGCAGAATGTGCATTTGACAGCATCACATATGAGGATACATCATCTGGATCCAGAGCCAAGATCTTTCTCGCTGCAATCTCCCCCAGCTCCATGTTTGAGTGGATTTGGCATCCTCCAAGCAATGCCTTCCAAAATCCTATCCCAGGATCAAAAGGCATATTGTGAAGGAAGCTCTTGGCTTCTGTAAATCGCCCCGATCTAGAGAGCAAATCAACCATACAAGCATAGTGCTCAGGTTTTAGCAAGCTGGGGCTCTCAATCCTGGCTTGGTTAAAGTATGAATATCCCACATCTACAAGACCAGTATGATTACAAGCCCATAGTAAACCAAGAAGGGTAACATCATTGGGTTTACAGCCTGCAGAAAGCATCCTTTTGTAGAACGTTATAGCTTCATTTCCTCCTCCATTCTGTGCATAACCACATATGACAGCATTCCAAGAAGCTATGGTCCTTTTAGAGAGTTTATTAAACATCAGGATGCTATCTTCCATGCTTCCACATTTTGCGTAAAAGCTAATGAGAGAAGTGCTAACAAACACATCAAGCTTACCCAAAATCTTTATGGCACATGCATGAAAGCTTCTGCCAATCCAAAGTGCTGCTATATTGGCAGCTGCACAAATAGCACAAGGAAATGTGGATTGATTAGGTAAGAATCCTTCTCTGAGCATGCTGATGAAAAAAATGACAGCTTCTTCGTTATGGCCTATTTGGCTACACCCACAAACCATGGCATTCCATGAAACTATATTCCTCTCAGGCATCTCATGGAAAAGCTGCAAAGCATCTATATACCTCCCTCTCTTCAAGTATCCACATATCAGAGTTGTATAGGACACAACGTTGGGATGTTTTGTATCTATGAAAGTTTTTTGGGCATCTTCTATTGTACTCAACTTGACATAGAAATCTAAAAGAGCACTGCCAACGAATAGATTAGAGTGAAGGCTTGTCTTCGTTGCTAAGGCATGGAGTTGTTTGCCCACAGGAAGGTTTCCAAGAGCGGTGGATGAGTGAAGTATCGTTCCAAATGTGAACTCATTTGGTCTGATATTTGAAGCAAACATTCTTGAGAAAAGTTGGACAGCTTCTTCATGGCGATGCTGCTTAGCAAAACAGCCAATAATTGAAGTGGCAGACACAACGTTTAAGTTAGACGTTTTTTCAAACACATGGCAGGCATCAAAGAAAGAGATTGAATTTGGGTCACATGAAAAAATGTCTTCTTGTACGGATGGAATTCCTTGATTGAGATCAGGGGCATGACAATTTGCTTTTGGAGTTTCAATCAGATAGCTACAAGCAAAAATGTGGTATTTGATCCACATGGGTTGAGATGCGAAGAATCCATGATTTATGGATTTCATAATATTATGAAGCTTTATTAATCTTGGCATGGAGCTCTCACATATCAATTTACTGGGAGGATTCAGCTCTTCCTCCTACATTCCACCTTGTCGCGCCCATGACTTCTGTTCTGGTTTGCTGTGTTTGCCGTTAAAATTATCTCTTCTCTTCTTGCCACGAGCACAAACCCATATTTCCCCATCCAGGCGGCAGATAGATACCAGTTTTACCTGTCAATCTTCGTCCATACGTTGCCATCGCTATAAGAAATATTTAGGGCAAATTATAAGAACTTAGAAGCGTGAAACTATCAAACATCAAAACTAAACTATATTGCGCATTCTGTCCCCTTGGCGCAGTTTGTCTTCTTCATCATCCTTTTCACCTGTTTTGCCAGTTATATGCTGAGGCTCTAAACTATCGATTGGAACTGGCTCAAAAAAAAAACCAAAATGCTATTGATTGGAGTAGAGAACACTAGCTGGGCTCCTAATTTCTGAACATAAGAACTAATAATGATATGGGATTAAATTTACTCCTAAATATAATACTTCAATTTATTTTGTATCCTAAACTATTAATTGTAAAGAGTTTCTACCTAAATGTAATTCAAGTATGCAGGATTAAATAGAGTAACTTAGAAAAATCAATATATATTTGTTATAAAGAAACAAATTTAACTAATTTTTTAATTTTTCAAATTAGTTATCTAGATCTTATATTTTATACAAGAAGTAGTAATTTATATCTATTTCAATCAAAATAATTTTTGTACTACTAACCAATTTAACTAATTTTTTTAATCTTCTCAAATTAATTATGCCAACCACTTAGAAAAAATATTTTAACATTTTTTTAATACTTTTTTATCAACTTATTTTTTTAATACCTTACCCATGAAATAATCAGATAGCTATAACAAAAAATAAAACGTAACTTTTCATTATCCAAAGAATGTTATTAACCAAACAATTCTATATTTGTAGTTACCTGCTTCGAAAACATTTAACACCAAAGATCCAACTTAATAATTGTAAGACATAACACGTCATATTGAAAACCTTAAAAAGATTTTTTTTTTTAAATGTCAGGGGCCGCTGAGCGACTGAGAGCGTGGAGGAGAGCGTGTTTTATCGTCGCGTTGGTGTAATCTTTTGCATCATATTTCTAAATAGCACCAATGGCTTAGCAGATATATGCGATTTTCACAAGAATCTTTTGGGTCTGATTTGAAATAAAATGACTAAAGCAGTCGGACAATGAAATTCCCCCTATATTGAACTCCCTTATTTCACTCTCTCAGCCTTCTTCTGACACAGCTGTTCTTCCCTCGTAAGAATCGAACTATTCCGCAAACTCTCTTCATAGCAAGAAATTCGTTATGTTTACTCTTTACAGGAGTCTCTTGGAAGCACAGTGCCTGCTGCTGCAACCATATATGATAAAGAATTCTCTATCAAACAAACACTAGTGAGACCATCTAATATAATAGAAATTGACCCTATAACGCGGGACCACAGACGCTGTTATATTGCGCAGAATCAGTCTGAAAACTATTAGCCAGAGTCTACATAAGAGAGTGCATTAGCATCTTCATGTGCAGTTCAAGACAATCAACATAAAACAAGGAGACGCCCTCCTAATATGCTCAAACAGAAGATGTTTGACAAGGACAAGACTCATAATAATATATATACACACAAAGATGTCATTCTCCAGTGATATAATGAAAACTCGAGTCACCAAAACGACACACAAACAACATATCATCTTAGCATTCGCTTAAGAAAGAAGCCTTTCTGCATCTGCATCCTCCGCAATCTGAAGTGATGAAACTGCTTGAGCTGCAACGAGGCCAGCAGAAAACCTATCAGGCCCCCACCCTGCTTCCTCGTGCATTAGTTCATTGTGCACATTCTTTTCGAAAGGTCCTAATGATAAATACCAATCACCATTCTCCACACCACCCCACTCACAGCCATAGCTGCATCCACCAGAGACCATCCCCATTCTTTCCACAGACCATGCGCCACCATCGAGATGAGGAAAGCAAGCTCTTTTTCCACCAAGGAAGAGGTTAAGGCTGCTATTGCAATTCCATGGCTTGCATCTCCCTTCATTAACAACTTTGCAAGAATCATCAGAGTCTTCCCCAAGCAGAACATGCAGAGCAACAGCCTCAGCAATTGCAGCACCCTCTTCATCAAGTCTTTGTTGTTCTTCTTTCTTTTTCTGTTTCTTTTTCTCCAGCTCAGAAATGATGGCTGCAGAAGTAGCAAGTGCTTTTTCCAAGCGCCTCTTCTTCTTCTCAGCTTGTTTCAGACGATCGAACTCATCTTTTACCTGCTTCTTCTTTGCCTTCTTCACATGTTGCCCTTTATTAAATGCCAAGTTATCCATGGAAAATACTACCTAACAACTATGATTCTTTTTTGTTTTCTGAACTCTCTTTTCTTCAATAAAATTTCCTTTAAACTCTCTGTTTTCTTCAATAAAATTTCCTTTAAACTGTATACATTTCTGTAATACTTTTCCCCCGTTTCCCTAGATTCTTAAGCTAAACCTATTCTATGGAGTAAATGTCAAAACACTAATGAAATGTTACAATTACTACACCCACTCAGGTCTGCAGGAATACCTCATTTTGCGAACCATGCAATCCCAAACAGAGACAACTGGAGACAACAGCAGAGAAAACTCATAAGCGCTCATACATCCACCCTTAGGTCCCATTCTTCCTGACTTCCCACAACCCTTGCACTTACCCATCCTGCATACACCAAGAAGACTTCAAAATTATGAAGAAATGTGGATTTTGTCAACACGCCCTGGTTCAAGTCCACCCTTCTCAACTGCAATGGAAGCAGAAACACAAGAAGTCATCAAGGTTTGGAACTAAATGAAAACAATGTGTGATTTGAATCAATGGCAAGCCACCACTAGCAACTTGCCCAAGGCACTGAAGGCAGCGTATAAGAGACTAGGCAAGGGGAGTACATAAATCAATCCTTGGACTCTGTAATAACAAATCAAGAAACGGGCAGAAGGAATCACAAGGAGACAAATAGAGACAGGTTACACATCTGTAAGTAAATTATTTTCATACTCTATTCTTTGTGTAAAACAGAATAAAGCCATAATATCCTAGGAAAAGACCATAATTAGTCTAATTAAGATAACTCGGTTATAAAAAATAATAATAATAACAGCAACAACAATAATAATAAAACAACAGCAGCAGCAGCCGAAGATTAACAACCACATAGCAATGACAGATGTAATCAAAGATGTTATTTTCACACAGCACACTGGTTGGTTTCAGTTGTTACCCCGATTAAAAAAAGACTGGTCGGTTCTAAGTGAGAGAATATGTCTCTGTGCTCTTTATGTATATTATCATCTGAGCACCCACCAGACTTAAGCCCATCAATAATGCATAGCAAGATTGCTTAGGTACCCTCCAAGAAAACAAGAGAGACATAACAAAAACTACATTCGTACAATTCAATTTGCAAGCACAGGTTAGTTTATCGAAGATAACCATGGCCCCTCTAACTAGATCCACCAGTCCAAAGCCGCACACGGATAAAATAGTCCAATTAAAAACTCATACTCTACAAACATATAAACCATAAGATCTACTCTATCGAGAATTAAACGAGCACCAATAAAGTTATGCAGAATTCAGTTCCGATCTAAATATATAAAAGATTTCAACCCCCAGGTTCATCCAAGACATATCTGTATAGCTAAATTATTACTATAAATAAAAAATCCAATTGAAATCAGAAAAGGATAAATCATACCTGCGGGAATGGCATAGAGGGAAAAGGGGACGGGACCGATATATATTATAGTCCTGGCGATAACAAAATTGACGAGAACAAAAGAGGCAGAAGATGGGCGGAATGGGAGAGTGTGGATTTGGGGGAAACGTAGTTGGGTTGAAAAAGAAAGTGAAGAAAGTTAAGAAGTGTAGAGAGAGAAACAAAGGACGCGAGAAGGAAAAGGAGGAGGGAGAAGGCGGGGAATTAATAACCGATAACATCAGAGAGGAAAGGGCAGTCGTGTCAAACACGAAATGGTGGTGACACGTGTCGAGAGATGTCTCAAGCTAAGGCAGCAGTTATGTACTTATGTGGGTCTCTGTCAGCCCTCGCTCCCCGATACTTGGCATAACGTGAATGGATCTAGCTTCAATGTGGGGCTCATCTATTTGATCGTGGCCAGTGCTGGCCGTTCGATTTTGCTTCTCTTTTGCGCTGATGGCGAGAGAACTAAATATTTTTAAGGAAAATAATTAAACAAAACAATTATAAATTGAAAATTACTGCATTTTTAATCTAACTCCCTCGTATAGTTGACGTAAGATATTTTTAGCTACCCAGTGAGGATTGAAAAAACACTGGGTTTTATACGTAAGGGTTTATTTGGATTCATGATTAACAAGCACATTTTTGCAAGCCGAACAAAAACTTTTCTCATATTTTTACCTTATATTCTATAAATCACAGTTAGAAAATGACTTATAAATTACTTCTCCAGTCTTTAATATAGGATTTAATTGTTGTGTTGATTTTAATCTTAAATATAAGACATATTTATTATATTTATTATTTTTTTCTAAATTGTTTCTATAAATACTCCTTCAATCATAATTAAGCAGAAGAGTTGTGGAGGATATTAAGGAAGATGATTATAGTGTTTTAGAAAAAACATGTCACATTTCTTATAATTAACTAACTTATCTAACTTTCTTAATTTAATCAAATTAGTTAAATAGGTCTTATATTGAGGATCAGATGAGTACATATAAATTATCATAAATAAGTCTTGACTTTTTAAGAAACTGCGCAAATTTGAACAAAAACCATTCTTCAAAATCATATCGTGTGAAAGGTTCCAGCTTGATTAAAAATAAAAAAATATATTAAAAATTCAAGCAGGTTTGATTGGAGCCAAGTCCTAGTCATGTAAAACAAAGCATGCGCTGAAGCAGAAGAGAAAAGATCAAAATAGACGCTATTTAAATTAGTGTTGGTGGGTTTGGTTTGAATCGATTGGATTTGGGAAGTTTAATTTGGTTTCGTAACGCCCTTATATGTAAGCAAATTCGTTTTTGCTGCCTAGCTCCTTGATGAACATTGCTTCTGTTGTTACTCTCTAGTCTCCCCAAGTAACATGTACACGGACATTATTTATAATCCCTTGTTTGTTCAATAATATGAAACTTTTATCATTGGGAACACGGCGTGCTTGGGATTGGGATGATGGCAACAATCTTGAAATAAAAATTAGTTTTAAAATATAATTCAAATTTCAACGACTAATATGCCCTCCAATAACAATTTTCTGAAGAAAAAAGAGGGGGTGAAAAAAACTCTTCCATCATTTTTCTTACCAACCAAAAACAGCGTCGGATTTCGCAGGGGGCAGGAATGAAATCCACAACACACAAGAAATCCATATCAATAAAAAAGAAAAAATCAAAGACGGGATTGAAATTATCCATTTCAACGCATGTGACTCTGGGGAATGTATTTAATATTGACCATGACGTTCTTCCTTCATCGCGCACCACTAGATTTCGTCATCAGCAATATAATAGCACGCCTTTGGTCTTAAATATAAAATTATTTTTATAGCATGTATAAATATATTATATTTAGGATCAGAAGAGTACATATCAAAATCAATGGGCATATAAATCCGCGTGGGAAGAAAACTAAGATTGATCAAATTTTAATTTTTAACTTGATTATAATTCGGTTCATAGACTTCAGTTTGATAAAACTTACTCATTATACTTTTGATTCCGTTAAAACTCGCTGTCTAAACTTTAGCTTACAACTTAATTCTCACAGTTTTAGTCATTTAAAACAATAGTCTCTAAACTTTTTTTAAAAAAAACATAACTTTAATCCTTACAATTTTATTCATTAAAATAGGACGAAGGTTTTACATGTAGTTATGATTAAAACTACAAAGATTAAGTAGCATCAAGCTAGAGTTTAGGGATTGAATTTTAAATCAATCACCTAAAATCATTAAAAAAAATTGCTAGACACAAGTATCTTTTTATTAGAAGTAAACCCTATTCGAGATACTGTTGAATATTAAATATGAGTACTTTTTCTAATGGAGATTCAAACATTAGTTTATTGGGTTATGAGAAACTAAACCTTCTATTAAACTCAATTCCCATTAGTTATAAAGATTAATTTTGCCTCACCCCGTATTATGCCACAATTAAGCAGGATCAGTGAAAGAAATTGGGACTATGAGAACCCAGCCCAGTGGACGCTAAAGAATGTTGGCATGTCCCGGACTTGTTATGCGAGTTTGGTTTATGAGATCGGACTTCACAAGGCTAAGATGTCCCCATTAGTTTTATTATCCCTAACAAGAGCCCATGTTACTGAAACCAAGCATCTGTTTCCCGTGACATTTGCGGCTGTTTTCAATTCTGTGTCAATCAAGCGTTGATTTGTACGCGGATGATAAATATGGTGGCTCCTTTGCACCATTGAAAATAATTTTCATTCCATAAAGCCTCACTTATTGGCAAAGTTGACATCAACTTTAAATGAAAAACATAAAAATCGTCATTTTCACGTTTCACAGAATTTCCTAAGCGTTTCTTTTGCCTCTGCAGGAGTGCAATATACAAAGAGTACAGAGAAAAAAAAATCTCAATCACAAGAGATGTCCGTGAGGACCCAAACCAAAAACCTGTTCTCCGATATAAAGGAATTTAATTACAGTTTTTTTTATGAAAAAATTGATTACAATTGTATACTCGCTCTACGTATAACAATTTTTATATAACAACAGGTTCATTTCGTTTATGATTTTTTAAACATCATTTAACTTATGTGAAAGGGAGGCCTCATTTGTTGGCAAAAATAAGCATAGCTGTCTACCAAACAGCAACTACCTCCATTCACACACAACCAACCAATTTAGTGCACGAATGATGAATGAATCACAAATGAAGAGCGAGCAGAATAAAAACGTCTCGGAATCCAAACTCTCTCTCATTAATTGTTTGTTTGGTTGAAGAAGAAAGATATTTCCTCTTCTCTTCTTTCGATTGCCAAATATGCTCTTCTAGCCTCCCCACCATCTCAAAATAGCCCTAAAATATACCAACATTTGGATATATCAAGGCATATAAGAATATAAAGTTACATTTTCTGACAAAATAAATTTCACAGGAAATGGCCCTTGTGCTGCATGAATGGCTTAATGAATCAGGGAATCTAAAGTTTCCGGGAATCCAAACACTATTTTTATTAATTTTATTTGGTGGTGGGGAATTCTTTTTTGTTTCCTCTCAATTTCCAAATATATATATTGCCTTTTCCTTTCCATTATAGCTAGATAACGTTAAAATATAGTAATAACAATTGGATATTAAAAAAAAGAAAGAAAAACGAAAAAGTAAGTGAAGTTAACGCCAAGCAGATGCGACGGTGAGTGTTCGACCCATCCAACCAAAACAAATCCCACCATTCTCTTCTTTCACTGTGAATCCCGGGTTGACTCGGCTCCCCTGGTTGAGTCGCGCTTTTATCGTCTCGGCGATTCTCTGGTTCATTCCCCTCAGTTGAAAACCCGCCATGCTCGTACGCGCCTTCCACTTGCCAAACACTTCGCACCTTTCCACGCGATCTCTTCCTTCGCACGCGATCGAGTTGCGAAGCTTTCGACTCAGTCCTTGTTCCAACTTCACTCGCTCTGAGCTGTCTCTTGTGGTTGTCGAGTCGAGCGAATCGAATAGGGCGCTGTAATACGAGCACGATTCGGAAACGCGGGACGTGAACGGCGCCGTATTGGTGTTTATCTCTTGCTCCACTAACGTCACCACGCGCGGGGCCAATCCTTTCACGCGCCGGAGAAGCTCGTCTCGGGGGTTCTCTGTGGAAACGCTCTCATCGGGCATTCTGTACAATTTGAAAGCGAAGTTCACCGCGAGGGGCTCGTCGGGCCCGCACCCTAGTGACTCACGCGTTAACTCGGTGAGTTTTTGAGTTACTGATCTGAACTCGAACCCGACCCCGAATTGCTCAGCGTGTTGTCTTAACAATTCGCCCACCATCTTCAACCTCTCTTCACTGCCGTTCTCCCCAACCGCCGTGATGCACACCGTGAATAGTTTTCCATTCTGACGCGCCGAGAGCTCGTGGAGGAGATTTTTGTATTGCTTGCCCCTGCCGATGTCGAAATCGACCACGTGTAACTTGTTGCTGCCGTTGTTCTCTGTGTTGTCCTCGAATGCGGCTTCGAGGATTGCTAGATTAGCCGCCATAAACCCAACCTTGAAACACGGAGCATGTTCGTAGAGCAACTGAGTCGACTCGGCGTGTTCGCTGCTAAAGAGTTCTCCAACCGGAGGTGGGTTATCGTGCGGGTTCACACGGGATTTCAGCGCGGAGATCATACAATCCATCAATCGTTGATCCGAATTGCCGTGCGGGTTCGATAACTGGGCCATACGGGTCAGGATCTCCATGGCGGACTCGGATTTCCCTTCGGAAATTGCAGATGCGGCCTCCATTAACGACTGCTTCAAACAGGTGGTTGCAGGTGAAGGAACAGAAGAAGATGACGACGTCGTCGAGGTTGTAGACGAAGTAGGCGACGACGAAATTGGTTTCTGTACGCCGGCGCTGATCAGGTTCTGTATTGACCACTCGCTGCCGGTGATCACAGATACCGCATCGCCTTCTTCGTCGTCGTTGTCTTCCAAAAGCTGTTTCTCCAACTCCTGAAGCCGATGGTCCATGACCTTCTTCTCACTTTCCTGAACCAAATTACCATTCAAATATGGAAACCCAGCTCTGGATAAGGCTGCGTTTGGGAGATTCATCGTCTGGGGGCGAGATTGCTGAAGCAGAGGAAACCCAAAGCGCTGTGACGAGAAAACCGAGGGGTTTGCCAATTCAGGGGACATGGAGAAATCGATGGGTGACATAGGAGACATAGGGGAGCTATTCTGGAAGGTTCTGGGCTTCACAGAGCGTAAAAGGAAGCTTGAAAGAACCTGATTGCTGGGGTTGTGCTGGTGAGTTTGAAATTCTGCGAGGGTTCGCTTCCTGATGAGACTCGGATTTTGCCTTGCGATCTGCGTATAAGGATCTAGAAGAATTGGTGGGTGGTGTTGTTGTTGTTGCTGGGTTCGGTACAGAGGATGAAGAGAAGGTTGAAGATTGTTGGCGTTGGTAGGATCGTTCATGGCGTTTGCCGCCATGGATCGGCCAACTCGGCCGTAGAACTCCGGTGCCCCACCACCCGTGAATCCCGGCGATGACATTTTCTTCACCAGAACGACGGCTCAGACGATGATAATAACTATAATAATAATGAGAGCTATCAAGAGGTTGGATTTTTGGAGAAACGCATGAGACAGAGAAATCAACGAAGAATAGAGAGGGTGGGGGGAGGGAGAGAGAAGAAGGGAGGGAGGTTTCTTATGGAAATGAAATGATTCTGGTGAATATAACGGAGGAGAAGGCGAGTTAAAAGGTCTTCTTCGCTTTTTTATTGGACTTTTATTTGATTAATTTATAATTATTATTTCATGATATTTGATAAATTATTTTAAAGAAGCATTTTTGTGTCACGAAAGGTATGAATGTTTACCCGGCCAGGGATCCGGACCGTTGATTTGTTTTCTGATGGTGGGGTTCATGCACAACGGATGGCGATTAGCTAACCGAAGCCAAAGCGAAAACGCATTCCTATTTAATAACGAACTTCAACTCTTCACAACAAGACCCATTCGAGGAAACATCACGCGCGTGCTTGAGAAATTGTGATCTGCTGTCAAATGGGCATTCTGGCCGGAACAGTTTTTTAATGTCAAAGCAATTATTAAAATACTCCTCCGGTCCTAATTATAAGACCCAATTGACTTATTTGAGGAGATTAAGGAAGTAAGTTAAGTTGGTTATTTATAATAAATAAGTATTGTCATTCCTAAAATATTTTTGCTAATTAAGTATATTGGCTAAAACTATCATTATTAGAAGGATTATCTTGGAAAAAAATGCATAAATATAAGAGACAAAATGGATTGGGTCTTATAATTAGGACCAAATAAAAAGTCAAATTGAGTCTTATAATAAGGACCGGAGGAGTAATTCATCTCTTGACCTGTCCATAATTTGTTCCAGTCATTTGTCATTTTAGCCCTCAAAAGTGGAAACTCTTGCACTACTAATTAAAAGTTCATAATATGGAATCCACCCACCTATGAGATATTTGTTTATATGATGTATCAGGAACCTATAACAATTGACATATTTTATGTGTTGGCCAAAAAAAAAAAAAGACGTATATTATGCAGGAATTTCTTTTCAATATGACCTAATATTCCATATTATCCATTTATCCAGATTTAACCATTTATACGATTAAATTGAAGCCAATCTCCAAATAATTTTCATATCAATAAATTAATTTTAATTTAAGAAATCTCGAATTAAAAAAATGTACGATATAAAAAAGTTTACTATTACAAATGTATGTAATATTCAGTCCTTTTCACTTAATCTAATTATCTTAAACTGGTGACATTTTTTCTTAATAAAAGCTTTGGCAAAAACTTTTTGGAGCAATTTAGATATTGATTATTTCATTGGAAGGCCCACGAACCTTGAAAAATAGTACGCTGAATTAGGTATTATTGCCCAAGAGACTAGAACTGTGCAATGTCGCAGATACTAAACTTCTAATTTACGATTGAAACTTCTTTATCTTTTTTAAATGTAACGTATTAGGTTAAACAAATTATTGTTGATCAAAGAAATAAATAAATAAATGGATTGACGGGGCAAAACGGCAGGGGAAAGAAGTTGGTTTGAAAAAGCGCGTGTGCACACGGACGTTTTGAGTGGTTGAAATCGGTGAAGATGAATGAATGGGTCTTTATTCGGAAGGTGATCGACTGACGAGATAGTTACTTAAGTAATTCCAAAAGGACAGACACCCAAAAAAAAAATTATTATTAATAATAATAAAGTCCCAGAAATGCCATCCAGACCACAACCGATAATGACACGTCGACACGTGGACCAATGGGAACCCGCTTTTGGAGGAACTCGGTTTCGTGGCCTTGTCGTTTTAAGATTTCTTCACCGCCTGCCCCTGATTCCCGAAATTCCAGTTTCTCGTTACTCACGACCGGCAATTCCCGGTGGAATTTGGCGGTTACCGACATTAACCGGTGAATACCTCAATGTTGTCGACGTAGGTCCTGCCCTGACCATGAAAATGCTCGCATTAGGATCCTCATCCCTCAGTCTCCGACAAAAAGACGAAACAGTGCTTGTAATTTTTTAATTTTAATTTACGATCAATTTTTTAATTTTAATTTACGATCAATCGGAGGAGTGGGGTTGAGTGATAAGAGACTCATTTTCCCTTAACCAAGGTCAGGGATTCGATCCCTGTTTAGATATGAAAAGCGTTAAATTTCCTGGTCAGCTATCACACCCTTCGAAGTATCCACAATTAGCAATGTGGATTAGTTTTTGATTGTTGATGTGCCTTAAAGGTGGCTTGCCCTAGATACCAGATTTGAAAGCAAAAAAAAGTAATAATAAAGTCTAATTAATTTACTTACTTTTTATATTTATTAATTTCTTAAATTATTTTTATAGATACTTTCTCAATCATAATCAAGTAAGTAAAGTCATGTTTTTTATAATTAACTAATTTTTTTAATCTAATCAAATTAATTAAATAGGTCTTATATTAAAAAATAAAAAAATATTTTGTTTTTTCTCCGTTCTCTTGCGTGAGACAGGAAAAGGAAAAAAAAATCGATTCATTTTTGTGAAATGACGTAAAAGCCTCTTCCTCGTTCGGCGGATTTGGTCAATGGCGCCTTGTCAGTTATGAATTTTGGGGTCCGAATTTCGGACCCACATAATTATAAATTAAAGCTAAAGATGATAATATTATCCTATATTGAACATAAGCTTCCCCGCCCCTTATGGGGAAATTTAGATTCTAGAAATGGTGAAAATAATCAGTGTATCGAAAATTTGCAAAATTAACAAAAAATGAATTATCATTATGTCTCGGGAATTATAATTATATATATGAAAGCGAGGAATATTCCTGTTAGGAAATTAACTAGGAAAGTGGAGATTATAATAGAAGACGATATTGACTTTGTTGGAGGAACACAGGATCGGCATTAACAGTGAAATTAGGAAAAGATAGAAAAACTAAAACCGTTTTGTCAATCCGCGTCAAGTGTGTGGTAAATAACTTTGGGGAGATGCTATGTATGTGGCCTTAATTTATATATTTAAATATTATATATATATGCATATGATTTTTTTGGCCTGAATTAAAGTGTGAAATGTGAAATGGCGAGGGGGCTGAGTTGGGTTGAGTTTATCAACAATAGTGAGTTAGTGACCCCATAATGTGATATGTCTGCAATTTGTAGAAGGCATTTAGGTTTTGCGACACCATTTGCATGCCTTCTTTTAAATCTGTGGTTCCTATCGGTTGCATTTTTTACAAGCCACTTGATTAGCGTGCTTCGAGTCCGGCATCACATTAAAATTACAAATAGTCTCCTACCGTAATGCTTTTGACCATAATCACCTCATTAAATCAAGAAAATGTGATTTTTTTGGGAAAAAAAAATGAAGAAATTATGATCAAGTCATTGACTTTACTTGAAAATTTTAAAAAAATTTATTCATATTTAAAACTATAAATGGCGTCTAAGAAATCATACAAAAGATGCATCAAAATTTTAATGCAGAAAACCTTTAAAAAATTGTAATTAGTATCTCACTTTGATGACTTCTTATAAGAATTCCTAGGTATGTATGGACAACATTTATATTAAATTCTTTATATTTGTTTTATTAATTTCTCTAATCACACGTAGTTATGTCTTATATTTTTAAAATATCAGTATTTAATTATAAATTCACATAAAAAAAATTAAACGTGTGATCCTATGTGACTAGAGAATTTGACAGATTTTTTTTTTTGGGTATTGATCTGACATTCCGAGATTATTGTAGGAGGAGTATTACGCGGCTTAACATTTGTATTGTGAATGCGAGGGGATAAGAGATATTTTTGTAAGTACGTGTGGGGTATTGAGCATGAAAGGTTAAGGAAGGCGTCATCAGTCATCACACAGGATATTTGCAGGATCATTCCTCAAATTATATTCTCAGTCTGAGTATCATAATTGAAACAAGCTCCCACTCATGATGATGCGAGCATAATCTCAAATCGTCTGTGTTTATACGAGTTTTTTTTTTTTTTACTAAATATCCTTTGTTTTAATATTTTTCTTGACTGATAATGAACTACTATCTCAATCATTAATTCATTAATGTAAAAACTAATTAACTAATTTGAATAGATTAAGAAAGTTTGTTAAGTTAGTTACTTGTAATAAATAGGTGTTGTCTTCTTTAAAATATCTCTGTTAATCATGTATATAGGCTAAAACTATCATTTAATGAAGTATTTAATACATACAACTATTACAAATATTGCTTTAAATAATGAATGAATATGAGAGAAGAAATCAATTGGAGCCTTATATATAAGACCAAATTAAAAGTCAAACTAGCTTTTATATTAAAGACTGGATGTAGTGCTTTCTAACAGACTAAATAAACTTCCTTTAAGTAATTAATTTCATTGAGAGTTATTTAAAATTTTTAAAATTTTAACTAAGCTCCTTATCAATGCCAAAAAAAGGACTAAATTCTTCAATATCAGTATTTTTTTGTTATAATTCAGAGTATCCTTAAGCAACTTTAAACTAATCTCTATCAAGTCAACAGATTTAAAGTTAAAGCCCTCACCAACAAGTGTCCTTCTTGATATTCGAACTTGTGTTCTCCTTCTTAATATAAACAACTTGTTAATAGGTCGGGAGCAATTGATGATTTCCATATAAGTTGATATTAATTTGTGGTGCAGTGTTACGTTTACAATTTATAAATATTGCAATTTATTTTAAATTTGTTTAATTAAATGTGTGTATGTTATTATAATCGATATGTAATGAAATACGCAAGAGCGAAGAAAATATAAAAATCTCGAAATTTCCACTCATATGAAAAGAAAATAATAAAGGCTTGGTAGTAAAGCACAAATGAGAAATTAAAATTTACGAAAATTCACACGACTACTAGGCTTATATTATTACTTTTTTTTTTTGGTTTAAACCATGACGTCCTGGGAAATAATTCCTGGCCGAATAAAAACATATAATATGACGAAGAAGACGGAGAAATGAATTTAAATAACTAAATCGTACTAAATCCCATATCACAATAAAAAACAAGTTTCCAAAAACAGCTTTTTGGAGACTTTTCATTGGCCTTTTGTTCATAACTTATTTCTACACTGTTTAATTTATTGCCTTTGAATATTTGACCATTTAGCTCATTAGCTGTTGACATAGTTGCAATCAA